TGGTGTAAGCATTTCCCACAAATTAAAAAGTACCTACAAAACTTTCAGAAGTTGTGTAGTGATAAAATCTCTCACCTCCAACGAGCTCTGAAAAGAGTGCTTCCCTCCATTCGTGAAGGTAGAGCGGATGAGAGCTCACTGAACGACGTTTTTGATGACTTAGACAAGTCACCATACAATCTGGGAAATCTTAGCAAGTGCCTTGACTATAGAGAGAGAGAAATCAACATCATCAGGTCATTTTTAGGGAGGATGGAGGGAATAAAGATTGTTCAAAATAAGTCAGAATTAGATAGAGCAGTACTTGCCACAGGTGTAAATCATGCATTTTGCTTTGTTTTCACCGGTTTGAAAGATGCTGACCTCAACATTGATGCAATGGCCAATGAAGACCCATGGTATTATTTAAACAATACCTTGGATCATATGAAAGAAGTAGCAGCCATTTTCATGGATCTTTACAGAGCACACGAGAGCAGCACCCAGCTCTGTTTCCTTGTAGCAGCTATACAACACCAGAATTACAAAGGAGCCACCATTTATCAGTACAAGGAGGGCAGAATGATTACTGATCATTTTTCAAAGCCCAAGATACGGGATCCCAGAACTATAAAAAAGCGAAGTCATTTTCTTTGGAGTAAGTATTTACTTCTGAGATTGCTAGTTTTCAAAATCATCAAATATTTAAAGGCATTGTTGTAATTATCAACAAAAACCAAATAGTTTTTTTTTTAATATTAGAGGTTACTTGACTGAAGTGGATGATTATGTAGATGACTCCTAAAAGATTGTGTTTTTGCCTTTCATTCAGATTACTGTCATCTCACTCTGGACCCAGACACTGCAAATAACTACCTCACTCTATCTGAAGACAACAAGAAGGCAACATGTGGGAAGTGGCAAACCTATCCAGATCACCCAGAGAGATTTGATAAGCATACACAGGTTCTGTGCAAACAGCCACTGACTGGTCGCCACTATTGGGAAGTAGAGTGGAGTGCTGGTTATATGCCGAGTGATGTTCGCATAGCTGTTGCATACAAAGAAATTGGAAGGAAAGGAAGAATGGATGATTTAAAGTTTGGATGTAACAAGATATCCTGGTATTTTGGTGTGGATAAAAGTGAATCCTTTGTTCCTTTGAGAGACGCACTTTACAAGATTGTGTCTAAAATGAAATTCTTCCCTTTTGTAGACATGTTTTATAAAAGGCTTGTTTGTTTAATAGTAATTTAACATTATATAATTCACATATAAAACTATGAATTGTAATTTTAAATGGTTTAAAAGCATGTAGAATAGCATATGTAGGCAAGTATATTTCTCTCTCTCTTTTTTTTTATCAAGAAGCAAAGACAAAAAGGAAAAATAAAAAGGAACGGGGCAGGGTTCAGTGGTTGAATCATCCATCCCCACCAATGCCAAAACCAAATCTACGCCCTTGGATCAACAGTAACTGTGGTGTAAAAGATAACCCTTCAACTGTGACTGTTACTTTTATTTTCATTTTAACAGACTTATTTTTTTAATGGTGGGGTCAGCTGGTGACCGTTAAATGATTTGAAGTTGATCTTTTCTGACATGATGATTAGAACTGAAACCCAGAACTGAACTTTACAGGTATACTTAAAAAAAAGGTATATTAAGGTTATGCTAAAAGTTACCATTTCAAAACTCTTTCAGTTAAATTCAATTTTGATGTCATTACTTCCCTCTCTGTGAGTCTCTCTCTCTTTGAAAGAAACACACACAGAGCAGCTCAGAGTGAACTTTGTTTTTCAATTAAACTTTATTAACCTGTTAGCAGTCGGACGTACCGCCCACGGTACATTGGATGGTTTAGGGGACTGATAGGACTGCTAAGGGGTTAATAAAAAGAGCCTTATAGCATAGAAGCATTTTTACAGCACAAAAAAGGAAATATAGTTTTGGAGAGTAAATAACAGATAATACAGAGTGTTAAAGGAATGAAATGCAGTTAAGCTAAGTGTTATTATGATAAAGGAATTATAGCAATTTTTTATATTGTTAATAATATTGAAAATATTGTTTTTTGATTGGTTTGTTTGTTTTAGGTAAAAGTAAAAAGTTAAAGGACTACACATACACATTTGTAACACTCTTGAGAAATACTTCTTTCCATATGTAATCACATAACATCGTAATCAGGTCGTAGTACACGTGTTTCAGCACATGGTGCCCAGCTGTCAAAGAGTTCTTCTGGTTTATGTGTGAAAGACATAGAGAAAGAAGAATAATGTCATGAAAACTGAATAGGAAGTGTTTCTAAGTGTTTAATTATTCATTTATTAGATGAAAAGATTATTTGGGTAGTGAATTACTTATTATGCAAAAGATTTAATAAAGGGGAGCAATACATAAACATTTCAGAAGAGGTTACAATCCTAAATGTAAATGAACCAAGATAAATTATGTTTTTGAAGTGATTCTATATCAATCTTTGAGCTTCATTTGAGGTATATTTTTGCAGTGTATGCCATTAAAATAAACAACAAATAAACAACAAAAAGCTTCTATAAGATGTTATTATGTTACCTGCTGGGAATTTTAATCATTACTGCATATAACATGTAAAACCTCAAACTGTGGAAGAACTGAAACAGCCAGACTAAACTCATACAGAGAGTGGAGCACAGAACAGCTTGAATGATGGTCATGTTTGTGGATTTAGTCTCTCAGACTGTTCAGAGACATTGTCAGGAGCTGTAAGAACAAAAAGATAAAACTAAAATTTTCTATAATGTACAGTGAATGTTGATTTCTGTTAGAAAACACGCTCCAACTCTCTAGATAAACGTGCAACAAAGAGTCAGGCAAGCAGAAATATGAATAGGGAAGTCCCATTATCAAGAAGCCATGAATACAACAGCATAAAATACAAGAACACAACATAATAAAAACAAGAGTTCCTGTGATGCTTAATGTTTTTAGAGAGTAGTGATGAGATTATAAGTGTGCTTTATGTTCTAAATGCCTGCAGGAGTATGTTCTACGCTGTTCCACATGAGCAAACTCTTTTCCTCAAATGTAGTTCACAGGTAGAGAAATGGTGTTCTGCACAGCTATGAAGATCAGCAGCTCTGTAATTATCTATTACACTGATGCTTCTCACATCATCAGTTTACTATAATATAATAATTTCACTTTGGCTCTGAGACTTACAGCGGGGAAAATAAGTATTTGACACATCAGCATTTTTATCAGTAAGGGGATTTCTAAGTGGACTATTGACACAACATTTCCACCAGATGTTGCCATCAAGCCAAATATTGAATTCATACAAACAAATCAGAACATTGAAGTATACAAGTTAAACCATAATAAATAAAGTGAAATGACACAGGGAATAAGTATTGAATACATGAAGATAACAAGGGGCAAAATGACATAGAAAGCCAGGAGATCACCTGAAATCTGTCAGTATTGATAGAGAAATCCTGTCCCCTATCAGTACTAATTGATATCAGCTGCTTTAGTCCTAATTGATGGCCTATAAAGGCTCCTCATTACCCAGAAGGCACACAGGAAAGACTTCATGATGGGTAAAAGCAAAGAACTCTCTCAAGATCTTCGTAATCTTATCGTTGAAAAGCATTGTGATGGGAATGGTTATAGGTGCATTTCCAGAATGCTGAATGTTCCTGTGAGCACTGTGGGGGCCATTATCCGGAAATGGAAAGAGCATCAGTTCACCATAAACCTGCCACGATCAGGTGCTCCACGCAAGATCCCTGTCCGAGGAGTCCAAAGAATAATCAGGAGAGTTCTCCAAGAGCCAAGAACCACTCGGACAGAACTTCAGGAAGACCTTGCATCAGCAGGTACTGTTGTTTCAAAGAAAACTATAAGCAATGCACTGAACCGCCATGGCATCCATGCACGCTCACCACGCAAGACTCCATTGCTGAACAAAAAGCATGTCAAGGCTCGGTTAAAATTTGCGCAACAGCATTTGGAGAAGCCTGTGGATTATTGGAAGACTATAGTATGGTCAGATGAAAGCAAAATTGAACTTTTTGGCAGCCATTCTACACACCATGTTTGGAGAAGAAATGGCACTGCTCACCACCCCAAGAACACCATACCAACAGTTAAGTTTGGGGGTGGTAGCATCATGGTTTGGGGCTGCTTTTCAGCAAGGGGTACTGGCAGACTTCATATTATTGAAGGCAGGATGAATGGAGAGATGTACCGGGACATTCTGGATAAAAATCTGCTGCCATCTACCAGGAAGCTAAAAATGAAAAGAGGGTGGACATTTCAGCAAGACAATGATCCCAAACACAAGGCCAAGGAAACAATGAAGTGGTTTCAAAGAAAGAAAATCAAGTTGCTTGAATGGCCCAGTCAATCACCTGACCTAAATCCCATAGAAAATCTATGGAGAGAACTGAAGATTAAAGTTCATAAAAGAGGCCCAAGGAACCTTCAAGATTTAAAGACCGTTTGTGTGGAAGAATGGGCCAGAATCACTCCTGAGCAATGCAGACGACTGGTCTATCCATACAAGAGGCGTCTAGAAGCTGTAATCACCAACAAAGGCTTTTCTACAAAGTATTAAATAAAGTGTGTTCAATACTTATTCCCTGTGTCATTGCACTTTATTTAATATGATTCAACTTGTATACTTCAATGTTCTGATTTGTTTGTATGACATTCAATATTTGGCTTGATGGCAACATCTGGTGGAAATGTTGTGTCAATAGTCCACTTAGAAATCCCCTTACTGATAAAAATGCTGATGTGTCAAATACTTATTTTCCCCGCTGTATTATGTGATGTTTAGAGTTTTTTGCAGATTTTTGTCATTTAACAAAATTCAAAAATTAAAATCAACATTTCCCCTACAGATCTCTCACCTTTCTTTCTTTTGTAAGCGACAAACACCACAGCTGCCCCAACTGCAACAGCTGCAATGAGGACAATTGCTAGAACAACCACTGTGGCTCTGATGTCAACGGGCTTCTCTGTTGAACAAAATGTGGAAACACTTTATAACACAGAGCACAAATGAACTAAAGAACAAGTGAGGAAAGACTCAGTAAGGACCTGATAGTTAATGCAGCTGACATCTCTGATTGAAACAAGAGGCGACACAAAACCATTAATACTCAGTTAATACACCATCATTAGACATTCGTCTTGTGCACACTGAAGATAAAAAACACTACATATAGTATTTCATTACGTTTTACTTACTTCCGTTCTCTGCTATTTATGTTCCCTTTTCAGTGAAGCATCTTACTGATTTGTTATTAATTAGTTCTTTATCAACTGCTAAAAGTATTGTTTGATTGGATTGGTGAATATAAATGTGGCAAAGGTCAGCTTATCCAACATCGCCTCAAGAAATGTAATAATTTAATGTAAAACCTTTACACCATTATAAAAACATGATAATACATGATAGCATATGTAATTCTATTTGTGAAAAACATAGCTTGTTAAAGTTGTTAAAGATGGACCAGGCAGTCAAGAGGAAAAGAGAAAGACCACAGAGAGGATCTGTGGATGTAGTAAAAGAGTACATGCAGAGGGTTGGTGCACCAACTCACATGTGAGTACTCACCTAACTACTCTGTAAAAATGATTCATAACCGTCGCAGGATCCAGTCTTACCCCAGTTTGTCTTGATCACTGCTTTGTCCAGTTTGGTGATGATGTCCTCGTTCACACCAGAGAGCTGAAACACACAGTCGTACCTCTGCCAGTCTTCAGGTGTGACTGAAAGTTTCAAATCAACACTCATCTGGAAGGTCCCATCATTGTTGGGGAGGCTCTCTGTGTGATGCACACCTTCATGAATCTCCTCTCCATCTTTCCTCCAGAACATCACGGCGCTGTGAGGATAGAAACCTGTAGCATGGCAGCTGACTGGAGAGGAGGACGACTTCTGGAGGAGAAACACTGAAGGTAGGACTGAAAAGAGATAGGAAGTTGCTACGTTGTCTTTAAATTGCAATATAAATTTTCTATTTTTTTCTACATCAGATTCTGTAATTCTACCTGCTGTCTGCAAAAAGATCCTCCCATACTGCAAATACTTCTTTAAAAGCTCAGGGCATTTATGGATGAAAAGTTCTTTATTGTGTTCTAATCGAGTTTTTTCAGTATCCCATCTCAGTTTGGTGATGACAGCCTGTGGTTTTGCAGTGATCCATGTCAGTTTCTGCAGGTCCAATGCTATAAAATCTTCTCCATCATAACCGTACTGA